GGAAATTAAGCCAGAAATGCCTGATCTCAGTGTGTGTATGATCTGCAGAAAAGAAAAAGTCGAGGATCATAGGAATTCCACTGATGAAATGAGTTAATCAAACACTTTTATCACTTGGAAAGGAATTTAGAATAATAATTAACTATGAAAATATATTCAAAAGAGATACAAATCAATCAAGGAAACCCCTTTACATGTCTATGTAAATTCCCCTACTCCTCGTAAATAATTATGCTGCTCTTTATTGCATTTGTCTGCCGCCGGCATAATTACCTAAGCACGTAAGACTTACATTTTTTCCTATCTCAGATCAACCATCTTTGACAATCCATCCATCAAGCATGATTGGGACCCAGAGAGAACAACCCCGAATTGTGTTACCCCAACACTCCAAGTTCCGATACACGCAACGTTGGCCGCGGTAAAGTATTGTTTTTAATTGCTAATTGAGCAAAATACTTGGTGGAATAAAATTAATTATAGTTTCATGTTTTTGGGCCACAAAAAAATACTACAAATACTCGACTTATTTCACTTAGTTTCTCATTGTTCACGCAAAAGCATAAATTGTTTAATTACTAATTAAGAATAGGAAACGGGCAAACGACAAACGATAAATGTAATGAATTAGAAGGCGAATCGAAGGCAGTTGGCATTATTTCAGTTCTAGCGTGTGACAATTCGCATTAATTACAAGAAATGCTCCAAAAAATAAGCCATTAAAGAGGGGCTCTCTTGTGTGGGTTTCGTAGGGGAGAGCACGGCGTCTGGGGAAGGGAATCCGGAATGGCGAAATGAAAGTGCGCCGGAGATCCCCAACTTTTGCCGCATTTGGCGTGTTTTAGGCTGCTGCTGCCTTGGCTGCTGCTTGGACACTTGTGACATTTTCTTAATTGAAATGATGCGCGTTCGTTGATAAAATTTCGTTGTATATGTATATTCCTCTACACTTGGACACTCTCTTTGCACGTTTTGCTGATGATTATTATTACTCTTCATTATTGTTCATTATTAAATGAGCGTGTGCATCCCCCGCTCGGCTCTCCTTCCCAGTCACTTTTTTTGTGATGTGCGTGTTTTTCGCTTTTTGTGTAGGCTTTGTGGCATGTGCGGCATGCAATATCTTATTTTGGTGGCGAAAAAGTGAGCCAATCCCCACCACAAGATCGCCACCAAATGGAAACGCTCACAAAATTGTCTACTTTACCAAAGTAATTGGGGTTTTATTCAAGTGCATAAACAATTGAGGATGCGATCGTTTTTCAAAAGAATTCTGAAGAAATTATATAAAAGAAAAGTCTACTTAAACAACTTTAAGTATCATTAAAATCACTAGTAATTTATTATTGTTACCTAACTTGATGAGATCCGACATATTATTATTTTTATCATTGTGATCGTCATAAATAAGATTACAAAAATGAAACCTCAGAATAGTTTCTGGGAGAACGAGTACATACGATGAGCTAAGGTTTACAAAATAACAAGCTCTCTTTTAATTAAACAAATTACTTAATTTTAAAGAATTTTTTATTTTATAAATAGATCAAGTTGTAGTACTTAGTATTTAGTCTCAATAGATTAAGGTTTTGAAGCTTATGCCCTTCAAAAGAATGTACCTTTAAGTAAGTTTGATATTTTCTAAATTTATGTAAATAAACTTATTTTTATTCCCAAAAGCATCTGTAGTAAATTTATATTGTATTTTCAATTAAAATTAAACCCCAAAAAAATTATAAAAAAATATATTTGATTCAAAATGGAATAATTACTTATTTCCCTTTGATTTGCCTTTTAGCCTAGATTCCATTGCATTTTCAATTGCATTTTCTGCAGTCGAACAAAAAAAAACCCACAAATTCATACATACTTCCTGCAGTTGTTGCCATTTTCGCCACCCTGCCGTTTTAGGGCAATAAAATTGCATTTTATGTTGGCACAAGCTTGCAAATTGGCCACACATCAAAAACAGAAGGCGAAATCCTTTCAAGATTCGAGTGCCCCGCCTTGTGAGCTCGCCTCATTTGCCTGCACTTCAATGCCTTTACGGTGAATATAATTATTACTTTAATTATGCTAATTAAACAGGCCGCCCACGGGAGCTGGTGAGAGAGGGGCGTGGTTAGGCCAGGCCAGGCAGCTGGCCAAAAAAAAACACGGCACATAATTAAGCGTTTTGCTTTGGCGGATTTTCCTTCTTTCATTTTTACGATTTTGCCTACGTAAAGTGACAACGTGACGCGATCGTTGGGGAATATACATACGTTTTGGGGGTCTACGGGGGAAATTGCAATTCTCCGCTGGCTTTTGGTTATTTTTAATGAGTGTGTGTTTGTTGTGTGTGTGTTTGTTGTCTCCTTGTGGCTGTCGTTTTGTTGCTTTTCCGCTGCATTTTTATGCGTTCGTCATCCGTTTGTCATAAAAAAAAGAAATAGCAATTGCAGCCACTGCTACAGCAACAACATTTAATTTATAATTTAATATCTAATCAGTTTTTTTTATTCCTGTTTGCCAACGTTGATTTTCTTTTTCACAGCTATTTGTGCATTAAAAGTTGTCGCAATGCCTTTGACCAGAGAGACACGCGCATTTAATGGATTTCTCTGATTTGCTAAAGATGCCACTCAAAATCATAAAAAATCCTGCAGTCAACTTAATGAGGTAAATAAATAAATTGCAACGATGAAGAAAATGTAAATTTGCAGATTTGAGAAGCAGAGAAAATGAATGCTAAAGAGTTTCTATAATCATAATAAAATAAATTAAATAGGTAAAGTCTGGGTAAACATATAATAAAATAAATTGTAGAATAAATGCCGTCGGCAATTTCATTGTAAACAAAAAACTTTAAGATTTATAAACAGCTTTTTAGCTAATTAAACTTAATAGAAACCCCGTACTATTAACATATATTTGCAATTGAAATTGTTATATAACAAGATTTGTTACCTTAAAATTAATGCAGAAATATATGCTTGAAGTTAAAATTTATGATCGTTTAATTTAATAAATTTAAAAGACATAAAGATGGAAGTATGCTTAGTGCTTTAAAGTTGAGTTTTTATTACATATTAATTAGATCAATAAAATGTAAAACTTCTAAAACAAACTAGTATGGCCTAACCTAGAGATATGTATTCTTAAAGTACAAGCATTTTTTTACTTTCAAATTTCTAGATTATTTAAATTATAAACTTTATAGATCAAGTATCTTACTACACTAACTTTTCTTTCTCAGACCCTCTAAGCTAAGACCCTATCCAATTCAAATACAAAACTCATTAAGCTCCGATATGCACCCGCTGAATGTCATTCCAGAGTTTGGACACTAGATTTATGTTTTGTTTGTGTGTGGCTTAGAGCCCGTTTAATTCTCGCTAAATAATTGCCGGCGATAACGAGGCGTAGAGAACGAGTCGACTTTAGTTGGGAGCAGGCGAAATAGCAAACTCTCTGCCTGGCAACGACAATGGGGAGCTAACACAAAGAGACTAAATTCTGTATTAATTTGCAATTAATGCAGCTAATTATATTTAATTAAATGAGCGGGCCAAGCTAACAATGCACCGCCTGGATGCAGTGCGGGCGGCGGGATCGGAGGGTTCGAGGGTTTCCAAGTGGAACTTGGGCACTGGGAAAAAAGTGTATATATCGCACAGGTTGGTCCGGCTTTGGAATGAAACTGATTATTACAATTGTTGTTACGCCTGTGCCGCGCTGCCGCTGCTGTTGTTAGTGCGAATTGTGCGCTGCTGTTTATTGTATCTCATAGATACGATTTAATCTTTTTTTTTTCGCAAAATGACACTGAGCCACGGCGAGTCAATTGTAATACGTTTTAGTGGGTTTTCGTGGGGTGGCATCGCGCATCATTCGCAAGGCTTAGCGCACATTAAACTATTTATATTTATGTGTAGAGTTTCATTCTGATTTCGTTTTGGAGATCGTTTGATGAGCCTCATTGTTGCAAATTGCCACTGTCCACTGCCGCCGCGCCGCGCCGTATTATTAGTTTGTTTATGGCTATTTATTATATTTGGTTTTATTATTAGAACGTCGCAACTATTTTTGAGTTGCTCGCGCAGCTCGCAGCTCGCTGCTGCTGCCCCTCATGCTCATTGCGATTCCCATGCTGGCCGGGCCGTAATGGTGATGTTGATAAAATTAACGTTAATTAAAGTTATTAACCGCCTGCAGCGAAATCGCATCAATTTATTGGTTTTTTGCATATTACCGTGTCAAGGTTGGGATTTACATAAAAACTGCATTTGGATGTTTCGCACAAAATTGCCGGTGAAGTGCGTGCGAAGCTCAAAAGGTTTTTGATTTTCATGATTTGATGACAGAACGCTTAGCACAAGTAGGTTGGTATTTAAAAACTCATTATAAATTAAGATTTAATAGTTTTTGATAAGAATTGAAGATATTTGCACATGGTATATATTTGTATTTTCCACAATGTATTAAAGTATTGTTATTAATCAATTAATGATCACAGCAACCCATTAACAAGTAATTAAAAAATATTACCTATGACATAAGGAATTCATGAGGATCTTATTAATTGATACAGATATTAATTTATATTAAATTAAATCTATTTTAATGCCTTACATTTTAAATAGAAATTTTGTAATTTTGGTAAAGGTAATTTAGAAACATTTCGTATAAGGAAAATTAAGTTTACTTCGAGCAATTAATTCAACAAAACTTATTAACAATTTCTGTTAAATTGTTTATGTTTCATGAAATGTAAGAAGAAATCTATTTAACTAAAAATTAAATATAAAATTATTATATTAATATAATTAGAATGGATTAAATATAAGCTCGATTATGTTAATGATAAGTACTGCTAATTGCCATATTGTTACCGGTTTTCACTAATGCAAGAGGCTTATACTTTTATAACAACAAGTTAGTATTTTATTTATATAATTTATCAAAAATTTTCCATACATAATCTGTAATATAAAATAAATATATTAAGTGTTATTTACCGTTTTTCAGTAGAATTGCAGAAGCTTCCACTAGTTACAAAGAATTTTCCCTTTAAACTGCTGAACTAATTAATTTGAATCCTAGTTTGTAAGCACTTTTTCAACATTTATTTTGTTTATAATCTTCTTATTGTGTTGTATTTTTTTGTAGTATTACTTCTTATCACAAACTGCACTTTAGTCAAAGTTTATCTACGATTTTTGGGACCGCGCACTCAAAATTTCGCGCGAAATTTCCAATTCAAAAACTGCGTTTGAAAATGTTTGAAAACGTTTGCCGTTCAGCTGTTTGCTTGCACTGTTTGTGTTTGTTTGTTTGTTTCTCGCTGCACGCGCCGCTTGAGATTCCGATTACGATTGCGACTGCGATTCTCAGTGTGAGATATTGTAGTTCTTGGATTCAGTTATTTTCGGTTTGGAAATTCCGGCCGCAGTTCGTACGTTCAGGCGCAGCGTTTGAAAACTGAATGAACGAGAATGAACGTGCGGCGCACGAGCGGCGCTTTGGACAGCATAAGTAGCAACACACACACACACACCCGGGTGGGAGCCGAAGCGGCACGAGCACGAAACACGAAGGCAATGCTGCCCGAAGCCCCGGCTAAAGCTTAGCAGGAGCAAGCGAGAGAGAGCGAGAGCGCCAGAGGCTCTCCTTCGCTCTCATTCCCTCCTCCTGTCCCACTCCTCTGATCCAAATCCCCCCATTTTCCACAGCCCCCCACCTTAGCCCCTTCGCAGCGGCAGCGACTGCGCGCCGACTGCGCAGGAGCAGCAAGTATATGCAATTTGCTTGGCGCTGTTAAAATAAAAATAATGACGTCATTAAGCTCACAAATGAGCGGCGCTGCTGCCTGCAGTCGAAGCCGGCGTCTGCGTCGACGTCGGCAGAGCTTATAACTGTTGTTCTGAGGCAGGAGAAGTTGCACACTTGACGAAAGGCGAGCACTTAACGACGCACACAGCCAGAGACAGAGAAAGAGAGAGACATAGAGAGAAAAAGAGAGAGAGAGAGAGACTGAGTGCACTAGCCAGGGGTAGGTAGGGGAGCAAGGCTGTGTGGGTGGGTGTGAGTGCTTATTTTGTGAGCGCAAATTTGAGCTTTTATTACAAATGCAATTTGTTGTTATTCTCGCTAAGGGGGCAGCGCAAAGACAATTTGTTGATGGTTGCATTTTTATAATGCATTTTTAAATAATTTTGTATTTTTAATTTGTATAGCCTTGGATGGTACTTTAATTTTTATTTGAAAGTAATCATTTCCGACCATATTGTAAGTATCTCATATATGTTCTTAATAAGCATTAACAGCCAAATCGATTCAGACATATCCGGCAGGAAAAAATCTAAAGCTAATTAAGAATTTAATGGGAAATCTAAGCTTAGACCCGTTGGGAATTCTAAGCTTTGATGTGAAGGCAGAAGCAAACCTAGAAAATCGGCAAGGTTTACATCGAAGCTTAGGATTCCCAACGGGTCTAAGCTTAGATTTCCCATTAAAATCTTATTTAGCCAAAAACAAAAATAAATATTTGCCAATTTTTGAAAATTTTAAACCAACATTTAATAAAGCTGTAAACCCCTTATCCCCATCCCTCCCTCACAGTATATATGTATTAGACATATACGCCGCCGCGCCACGCCGCCGCCGCCGCCGATTTTTGCCTTATTTGACGCGCCGCCGCCAAATTATGAAAATAACGGCGCGCCGCGGCGCGCCGCTGGTGCGGCATCGGCGCAGCTTCAGCGCGGCCTTCAGTGTCATTGTTCTTTATAAAACTTAAAAAAAAAAAAATAACTCATTAAAATGGCCTTTTTGCCTTATTTGACGCGCCGCCGCCGCCGGTTCTTTCTGACTACTACGCCGCCGCCGCCGAGTCATTTTGACCTCTACGCCGCCGCCGATGCCTTTAACCATCGGCGTAAACCTCTAATATGTATGTTCCTATTGCAACTATTTGCCGGTAATTAATAATTCAAGTGTCGGCCCGCAGAGCAAATCCAATGCCAAAAGTTCTATTCCGTCAGCTCATCGGGCAGAAAACCTCACTCGAAACTCGAAATCCGAAACTCTAAACTCACTGTGTGACGTGTGCGGGGTCCACTGAACACCCCCGTCGGACCCCTTCTCGCCTTCCCTGTGGCATCCGTTCCGAAGCGCTTCCAGAAAACCGAAAAGTGCCAATAAATATGGAAACGTTTTGCCTTGTTCTGCCCACTCTGCCTCCCACACCTCCACCCACAGGCACCTCTTCGCCCTCCTCGACCATGGCCCCACGTCTTCTGCTTCTTTCCAGCTCAATACCCCTTGCCAGGTTGGTGCACTGGGAGAAATATATAAATTATAATTTTATATTTATATAGAACGTAATAAATAAATTTGTATATATAAATTAGAATTAAAGTATTAAAGAAATAATTAAAAATAAAAATAAATAATTAAAAATAAATAATTTTTTGGGGGTTTCAAGTATTTTTATGTGGGTTAACTTTTCGATTTTCTTTAAATATGGTTTAAAATGTATACTAAAGAACCTAAGATAAAGAATCCGATTTATTCTAATTGATATTGTTCTTATTTATAATTGTGTTTTGGTTTTCATTTCGAAAAACTCGCACCTTAAAAGTATGCTACCAAAAATAGTTTCTAAGTTTGTGCAATTTGTAAAACTCTCATAAATTTCTTAAATTTATTATATGTAGATTTATGTAAACTATTCTTATAAGTTATATAACAGTTTTTCTTAAACATTTTACCTAGACTTTACTTTAAGTCCATACTATTTTTCTAACCTTATATTAATACAACATTTCCCTCAGTGTATCCTTGCTCCTTGGCTACCTTTGCACTAATTCACATTTGATGTTTTGTTGTCTGCGCTTGTTGCTGTTGCTGCTTGCATTTTTCTGGTCAATGAGGTTACAGTCAAGTCACTAGACAAGCCCCCGCTGCCACTACGCCGCCCCTGTGTTCAGAGGGGGCAGAAGATGCAGCAGCAGCGGCAGCAACTCGTGCGGTCTTCAACCGGTCGCTGTCGGTCAGTCGATGCTGCCAAACAGGCTGCCTTTGCCACAGCCTCTGATTCTGCTATGCCCGCTGACGTTACTGTTGCCTTCTGCTGCTGCTGCTGCTGTTGCTGTTGCGGGCAGTCTAGCCAGCCACCCACCCGCCTCAACCATCAGCTATCGGAGGTGTCGATGACGTCGTCTGGCCGCCCCCTTGAAATCCCAACCCCCGCCACGGCCCTGAAGTGCCCCAAAAGTCCAGTGAAGTATCTCGCTTCGGCTTCATCTCTCCCTCGAAAAACCGAAACTGACTGCAACTGCCTACGCCACGCCATTTGATGATTTTGCCGTTTGGCTCACTTAATGCGATTCGCAAGGGTATGCACTTAGGCCTATTCGGTTTGTGATTAACCGGATTCCTTGAGAGAAGGCTAGAAAGGATAGTAGGTGGAGGGAGGTGTGTGTGTGTGTTTGGGAGACCTCGATCGGGGATCGTTGGTATAGAGAGGTGGTATATGGTGACCTCAATTGGGGATCATTAGTTAGCTAAGAGTTTCCCATAATTATAATTCTAAAGATATATTTTCAAGATGATCTGTATCAGTAATTAATAATCTTTAATGTCTTTAATTTTAATTTTTAGAAGACACCCAATTAGTTTCAAATTAAGAATTCTTCTAATCTTCAATTCGTTTTGAGGTCTTCCCTTAAAACTTCTAATAGAGTATCTTCACTTCGCACATCTTAAGGATTCACATTTTGGCCATCGTTCATTCTAGTGGTTGGCTGATTTTGTTTTTAGCCAATTTTGGTCAATATTTAAGTGCCGGTCGGGGCACTCTTCACTGTTTTGGCTGTCGTACCGTGTACATGTCTAGGCCACATCACCTCATCAACTTAATTTTCGGAATTTTCATGTAGTTCTATCTCGCTCCTTCTCTAGATTTTCCTCTCTTCCTGTCTTTGTCTTTTATGTCTAATTTTGTGCTGCATTTTACCTGCAGCTATAAAAGCATATTACCGTTAAATGTTGCACTGTCGAGTTGTCGTCTAATTTACGTTACCCGGCAGCCGACGGGACCAAAATGGGTGGTGGAAATGCTAGGAAATGGTGGGAAAATGGGCGGCAGGCGGCAGGCGGCAGGGATGGTAACTTTAGTCTTGGATGCGGATGCAGTAGAGCCACTGCCCACTTTCCATCTTGGCTTGATTGTCATTGCAGCTCGGCTCGGCCCCGGCCGGCAAACTGATTAAATTCAGCACGCGCCCTGCGGGCATCCTTGCCAACTTCTTCCATGGCCAAGACGAAATGCTCGAGGAGGGTTCAAAAAGGGGTAACCAGGGGATAGTAGAGGGGTTAGATGTGCACACCAAAAAATATTTTAATAGATTGATATCTTTTAGAGGCACTTTGTTGGTGAAAAACTTTACATCGCTAATTTTCAAACATTAATTCAAACCCCTTTTGGGAACAGACTTATGATTCGATTCTTAAATGTTTTTAAAGTATGTACAATTTTCTTTCAGTGTAGTGAGGAGGTGTGTGACGGGGATTTTCGGGGGGGTGGTAACTCAAAGTCATCAGCTTAGACAGGGGGCCAGAAACTAGACGCTCTACATAAATTTGAAATTAACGTTTCTAGCACATTGTCCGTCTTTCTAGCCTTCTCTTTCTGTGTAAATGCCCCTCTCTCTTTCTCTCTCTCTCTCTCTCTCTCTCTCTGTCTCTGTCTCTGTTTCTCCCTGGGAGCTTACATGCTTTCTGTAATTATCATTTGCCAGTCCGTTTGCCTTGGAACACACACGCCGTCTTGGCCCGATCTTAACTTGGCTTTCGGGCGTACTCTGTGGCGTACATACATACCTCTCCCGTGCAGACCCCAAACCCCGGAACGCTCGTAATTAAATGCAAATCTCTCGTCCCCCGTCTGCGTCTAATATATTGCCATAGTGCCACGGGGCAAACTGTGGCCACATTTTCAGCAGCGTTCCGAAACTTGTCAGCACTGGGCCGCCCCACCCGGCGGTGCCCGGTGCACGAAAAAAATGAAGTGCAATAGCCAAGAACGTGTATATAAACCAAACAACATTAAAATTATCGCCTGGACAGCCCATAAAGAGCATAAAGGTGTTGGATCGCCCACGTCACCGGATGGAGGATACTCTGTACTGTTGATACCCTTTGGGATGATTGAAATCGGTAAATTATGCAACTAATAAGGAAGTGTATATAGTAAAAATAAACTTGAGATTGGTCTTTAGCTTTGGGAAAATCATATTATAGTAAATTTAAGCTTTTCGTAAATTATTAATAATAATAAAACAATCTTATAAGATATAGATCGGGCCAAAAACAATTTTTAATCAAAGGATTATACAATTTTTGGCTCCAAATCTCTATAAAGATATTGTTTCAATTAACTAAGTAAATACCTAACT